TGATACTTGGGGCTTTGTCCTGGGTCTCCTTTTCTTCCATCATTCTACCTAACTTTCTTGATTTAATTCTTGATTCCTGTGGAAGATAAAACTCTGTGATGATCTCTAAGATTCCCGCATCCATGGTGTATATGCCCAGTGTAATTTTTCCTCCTTATGTTTGGGTGGAATCTCTAATTATAAAGAGATGGTCACCTCCTTCATTAGGTTTGTTATATGACAAAGTACATGGTTTTCTTTTAGCACACTGGAAAGAGATTGTCCTGCTGGCTTTGAAATAGGAAGCTTCCATGCTGTGAGAGGACTATGTGGTTTGGACTTGAAAGTAGCTCCTGGGAGGTGGGAGCCAGCCCAGCTGACAGCCAGCAAGAAAACAGACTTCAGTCCTACAACCACACAAGAACTGAGCTCTGCCAGTGTTCAGGGAGCTGAGAACAGACCTCAGGCCCTGGGTGTGATCTTGTCCCTGGCTGATGCTGATTTTAATCTGTTGGGACTTAGGTCAGAGAACCAGCTAATCTGTATGTTAGCTCTGGACCTACAGAAACTATAACATATAACTTTTACGTTATTGTCAGATGCTAAATTTGGGGTGATTTGTTATGCAGCAATAGAAAGTAATACCTTATAACCACTCTGAAGACAGGAGAAATTGAAAACCCTTTAATGTCATTATATGGCATTTAAAACAAAATAATTCTTGATGGAGTCTATAAATCATTACATCATCAGGCCTCTATCTAACTCTTCAAGCAACTCTCATACATTCTTCTCTCACTTGGCTTTTCCTCCAGCCAGAAAGGATTTCTTGCTGTTCCTAGAATATTGCAGGCATTTGCTTCCTAATGTGTTTTTTTTGATAGTTTCTCAGCTAAGTATTCTCTCCTACAGGCTCCGTCTGCTCCTGTTTCCTTAGGTAAATCATATTATCTCTTCATGAAGTAATAATAGTTTTCAGTGCTTTAAAGCTTGTTTTCATTTTGACTTTATCCTGCTAGACTGTAACATCCAGAAGGGCAAGCAATAAAGTCTTTGTGTTTTCTGTGGTTTCTCCTATTAATAGTCACTGGAATATATTGAAAATCAAGAAAAGTTGAGGGAATAACTATTCCTGTATATTAACATTTTTGGAAGTAGAATTACTGGTAAATAGTATGGACATTTTATAAACATTATTTGACATATTTGTATTTTATATGTTTAAGCTGTACCATATGATTTTGATACATGTATATATTATAAAGTAATTATCATAATTAACAGGTCTATCATTTCATGTAGTTGCTTTTTTGTGGTGATGACATCTGAGCTCTGCTTCCTTAGCGATTTCAAATATACCATGCATTATTACTAACTATAGCTCCTATGTTATAAATTAAATCTCAAGAATTTAGAAATACTTGATATGTGACTTTAAATTACCCAGAGGAAAGATTGCATCAATTCAAACTTTGTCCAGTAAAGAAAGACCATCCATTTAATAGCACTTTTACTTACTTTGAGGGTATTTTCTTTAAAATAAGTCTTTCCTAATTTCATACTGGTATTATGATTTCCACTTTACAACTGTTGATCTTTTTGTATTTATTGTTAACTTATTTTTATTCTATATATTTTTTATTTGTTTCTTATTTTTCTTTTTTGTTATTTTTATATTGATTTCTAGGGCCTTTCAGACATTAAGAATAGCTCTTTATGTGATATTTTGGACTTTTTTGTAATTTTTATTGCAGTTTAATTTTGTTCATGTGTAATGTATAGAGATTTAAAATTTTTATGCTTTCTTTCCTCACTGATTTACTGAAATTTCTTTTACTAAAACTACCAGTGATGCTACGGTTGTTATATCCGATGTACATTTTTAAGGCTCTATCTTCCTTGATACATTCAGTCAGGAACAAAACAATATGGATCATAATTTAAATATTTGATCTATGTTAGTTTGAAGCATCTCAGCCACTTCTCATTTATAGGTTTAAATTTATTGAATTCTAAGTGACATTAAGCGCTACTTAAATGAATTTGTTTTTGATAAAATAAAATGCAAATCATCAGGGGGAGTTCTTTAACAAACACTTATGGTATTTGTGATTACATAAATGCCTCAAATGTGGTTTGAGAATACATGCTATACCTGAGTCAGAAACAAAGAAATTATACCCCAAAATGGAAAGTCAGATGTACAAGAGTCCAAGCAGGAGTCAGAATATGGGGCTATGAAAGAATGTTTTAGCGTTACTAGGGCTGCCATAGAAAGTACTACAAACTGGGTAAAATTACCTAACTTTATTATCTCACTAGAGGGTAGAAATCCTGAGTCAAGGTGGTGCCAGGGGCAACCTCTGAAGCCTCTTAGGGCAAATCCTTTATTACCTCTTCTGCTTTTTTTATTTTAAAGAGAATAAAAAAAATAAAAACAAGACAGAATTTCAAAACAAGATGATAGGAAATTAATCATGGTTGCTATTGCACATTGTTAGCTTCAAAGTAGTTGCTCAGATTATCAGATTTAGGCAGGCAAAATTGATCAAATAATATAAACACTAACTGTTCCTTTCAATAAGCTAATAGAAATTAGTACTACACTTATCTTAGCTAGCTTGTGTATACATATATATATATATATATCTTGTGTATATATGTATATATATTTTTTCCTCTTCTTTTCTCCTTTCCCCCATCTCAGTTTTTCTTTCCTTTTGAGCAGTTTTTTTCCCTTTCACAATTGCTATTGTAGGTACGTTGACTGCTACCTGTGTGGCAGCATAAATCCAATCTTTGTCTACATTTTCACATGGTCTTCTTTCTGTGTGTTTGCATTTAAATTATTTTCTTCTTATAAGAATACTATTTTGATTTCATTACATATGCAATGATCCTATTTCCAAATAAGGTCACATTATAGGTGCTAGAAATGATGGTTTGAAGGTACCGTTTGGGGAGACACAATTCAACCCTTAGCAGATAGGAACCAAGTGGGGGAGAAAGAGATGAAATATGCAAGATTTGTAAAGAAATAGGTAAAATTCCAAGCCCTAAACTGATAAAAGACACTGATCATGATTAGTGGGTTCAGATAAATCATCTGGGCAAAGAGAAAATCTATACTCTTAAGAAGTAGGATAGAAAACTTTTCCATGAAATTCCTCATAATTCTATTTGGAGCAGGTAGATATTTTAATTCATTATTCATGCATAATAACTTGTTTCTATGAGTAAGCTGATGCAGCTTACTATGACAATTTTGTTCATGATCAAGAATGATCAAATTCTTATTTAATTTAGTTTTAGTTGGCCCATTTAATTGTAAAACTTATTTTTATTTCCATCATATATCTTCCAATTGCATTCAACAAATATTCACTGATCAATGCCACAAGATAACCTATTTTAGAGGCTGGGACATGGCATGTGGAAAACACCCATTTGTTGAGTTAAGGTGAATTTAGGTTGTTATAATGTTGGGAGGTGCTGGAGTTGGTTGTTGGTCATGTGTCTGAGGGTGGGACAGACCCAGAGTGCCTCAGGCAGTCAAGCTACCTCAGTACTGAAAAAAGTATCCTGCTTGGACCATTACAGTTTCAGCCTTAGTCTTTGCCTTAGTCACTAGGCAACATTAACTCTCATGATACTACTTTGAAGTGTGTAAAATAAACACCCCTACTATTGAAGTCAGTCCTCTTGCTCATCAGGCAAGAGGTAACTCCACCTGACCCTGGCTATTGTCTCTTGTCTTTATTTTCTATATCCTCTTACCGCTTTCTCCTGGGGACCACAGAGGGAGCACCGACTTCCGCACTATAACAAGTATACCATACACTGGATGGCTTAAACAACATGTGCTTCTCAATGTTCTGATGACCAGTTAGTACAACATCAAAATGCCAGTAGATCTGTGTTGGGATCTGCTGAGGGTCCATTTCCTGATTTGTAGATGGCTCTCTTCTAGAAGGTTCTAATTCCAAATGCTATAACCTTGGGAACAGTCTATGCTGACTGCCCTAAAAATTCCTATGTGGGGGGAGGTATACAGATGTTCAATCCATGTCACCAATGCATGTGAAACAAGGGGAATTATTTAATTCATATTTATGTTTTCTAGGGGCAGTGGAGTATAAGGAATTTTAAAATATTCCCAGATTAATAAAATCATCATCTTTAGCAAATGTTTATTTTGGGTCCTGTAATTTATTTTAAATGTTTCTTTTTTCCTCTTTTATTTTCCTCAGATTAACAATGTTTGGTACATTTTTGACCAATATATGGTTCTAGTAAAACTCTTGTGTGATGTATGAGTTAAAGTTTTACCAATATTTTAAAATCCAATATAATTGCATCTACAGTCTGGTTAACATGGGTACTTCTTTTTCAAAGCTTTAATTTACATTTTTAAAACTTTGGCATTCATTCCCATGTAGTTATTCAGCAGAGTCTATACTGACTGCCTGAAAAGATACATTTCGTTTAACTAGGCATATATTTAGACTCAACTACTTTCTGAAATAGTTAAAAACAAAATCAAAGTATCTCTGGTTGCTTGAGAAGCAAAGCATGACTTTTATATTGTGATGGTAAGCTGTTGTGATCACTGAAGGTCAAAGATATAGGAAAAGAGCTCACATGGAGACGGACTTTAGAATTTTAGTCTTTCAAACAGAATTATCTTGTTTCCCAGACATCTAAACCTACATTGATAGAACATTCCCACACATATGTTATCAGCTGAAAACAGGCTGCAGAGTTCTGTATTACAACTGTCTTTGAAAGTAGAATGAAAAGAACAGAATTGAAAGTTCAAAAGCATTAACTCTGACAATCAGAAAGCGGCATTCCTGGAGTTTACCTGATGTTTCTTTGGTAGAAAAATGATTCTTTCAAACTGATTTGTTTCAAAGAGTAGAAGTCTTACTTGCAGCCATTGCCCGTGAACAAACAGCAAGTTAAAAGTGCTGGAAATATAACTGCTGGAACTTTGCAAAGAGAAGTGGTTGTGATGTCACAGATGCTTGAGAGAAACTTCTAAAAGTAAGATTTAGTTAGAACAGAGACGAAACAAAAATGTGATGACTGAATAAGATGAGACCCAACAAGAGCGTAGCGGGAGAGAATGGAATGATTTGTGAATGACCTTTTTTTCTAAGGACTTTAATAGAACATCTCTTAATGAAGGAAGGCAAAGGCTTAAACACCTGGTACATTTGTAGCTCTTGAGGATTAATTACTTGAAGATAAATGAATTTGAAATTCATCCGTTAAGAAAATGGAAGAACTTGATGAACCTGACCAGCCTATCTCAGGGGAGAGGCAAGAAATTCGAAAGAGAAGACGCCCCAGCCAACCAATGGTAGACAAATCCCTACAAACTGAAGTTACAGAGAAAAGGAAACCCACAGCCACACCACAGTCATCTGGGCCCAAAGCTCCCTTTAGTACTGGTAATACTCCTTCGAGCAAAGGCAACTCCTCTGCCAAAGAATATGAGTCTCGTAGAATATCTTCTCAACTTCAGCAAAACTGGAAAAAGAGAAAACATGGACAGGAAATGACTGATAAATCTCTGCAGACAGATCCCATCATAAATGAGAAAGAAGAAATCAATTTAGTTGATGAAACAGTGGTACCTGAAGAAAAGCCAGTTGGCATTGGGGTAGCAGCATTTGAGTTACCAGAGCGGGTTCAGGATGTAGAAACTCCAACAAGGAAACCGTCCGTTCAGTCAAAAATAGACAGATCTCAGCAGACCAGTTGTACTGGAGGCATGCTGAAAATTTGCCAAGTTGAAAAAGCTGACAAGGAGCAGCAGACCTCTTTTGGTGAATTTGAAGTAATTGTTATTTCTAGCCCAAGTAGTTCTACAAAATCAAAGAAAGATGTCCAGAAAACCAAATCCTCAGAAAATGTTTTTGTTAGCGAACACCCTGAATTTCAACCAGAAACAAGTAGCCAAGAAGAATTTAGGCAGAAAAGTGTTGACAGAGCTTTATTTACTCAGGAAACCAGAACGGATACACCAGTACTTTTAGAAGGTGGGTCTAGGGCAGAGGTAACCATACCCCTTAAAGAAGGTTCCTCTGTTACAAAGGGGGCTTCTGCTGAGATAGAGGCCCTATCATTAGAAAAGATCCCTGCTGAAGTTCAGCCCCTACCAGCTGAAGAGGCTGCAGCTAACGCAGAGCCCAACCTTGCTGAGAGAACCTCGGCTGAGGCAGCTGTTGTAACGGCAAAAGTCCTTGTTTTAGAACAGGCTCGGTCAACTGAAGAGCTGCCTTTAACGGAGTCTTCATCAGTAGAAAAGGTCATAAAAAAGTGCTATGATCAAGTGGGCTATCTGTCAGCTGAAGCGGCTCCCTTAGAAGCTTTTCCTGCTGAAATTCAGCCTTCACTGATAGAAAAATGTCAGGTTGAAGTACTACCTCCAATAGTTGAAGATGCCCATGAGGAAACTTTAGGAATAGTGGAACCTCGCACGGCTGAAGAGACCCCTGCTGAAGTACAGCCTCCACTGGCTCAAGAGGTTCTGGCAGAAATTCAGCCTCTCTCAGCTGAGGAGGCATCTGCAGAAGAGGCCCCTGCTCAAGTTCAGCCTCCACCAGCTAAGGAGCTTCCTGTAGAAGAGGCTCCTGGTGAAGTTCAGGCTCAACAACCTGAGGAGGCTCCTGCAGAAGAGGCCCCTGCTCAAGTCCAGTCTCCACCTGCTAAGGAGCTTTCTGTAGCAGAGGCTCCTGGTGAAGTTCAGGCTCAACAACCTGAGGAGGCTCCTGCAGAAGAGGCCCCTGCTGAAGTCCAGTCTCCTCCAACTGACAAGGCTCCTGTAGAAGAGGTCCCTGCTCAAGTTCAGAGTCAACCAGCTGAAGAGGCCCCTGCTGAAGTCCAGTCTCCACCAGCTGAGGAGACCCCTGATCAAATTCAGCCTCCATCAACTTATGAGGCTCCTGTAGAAGAAGCTGAAGAGGCCTCTGCTCAAGTTCAGTCTCCAGCTGAGGAGGCGTCTGCAGAAGAGGCTCCTGCTAAAGTCCAGTCTCTAGCTGACAAAGTGCCTACAGAAGATGCACCCACTACAGTCAAGTTTCCACCAGCTGATGTGGCTCCTGCAGAAGAGGCCCCTGCTCAAGTTCAAAGTCAACCAGCTGAGGTGACCCCTGCTCAAGTTCAGAGTCAACCAGTTGATGAGGCTCCTGCAGAAGAGGCCCTTGCTCCAGTTCCGCCTCCTCCAGAAAAGGCCTCTCATAACGTTTGGTCTCCAATACCTGAGGTCTCTGCAGAAGCTTATTCTTCATCACTTGAAGAGACTTCTATAGAAGAGGTATCTGAAGTTCAGTCCCACCAGCTGAGGGATTCTGAAGAAGAGGCTCTTCCTGAAGTTCAGTCTCCACCATTATGATGAGGCTTTCCAGAAGAGATCCCTTCTGAGGTTCAACAGCCACCACCTTAGGGGGCGCCCATAAAAGAGGCCTCTGCTGAAGCTTGAGCTCTACCTGCTGAGGGAGCCTCTGAAGTAGAGGCTCTTGCTGATAAACATGCTTCATTAACTGATGTAGTTCCCACTGAAGAATTTCCCCATGCAAGAGACGTCAGCTGAAATTTTACCTCCATCATCTGCACAAGCCCGTGCGTGTGAAGCTGTAGTGGAAAATGTCTCTACTGAATCTCGGTCTCCTCAGGTGGCAGGTGCCTCAGAGAAAACATTGGGGTCAGTTGTTCTAAAAGGTGTTACAAAATTTGAATAAAAGTTTCTTGTTTCTGAAGATGTATTGAGTGCTAAGAACAAGCAGGTTTGCATTATTGGGATAGAAGGTGTCATTCAAGTGAAATTGAAAAACAAACTCCTGAGCTGAAGTTAGGTTCTAACTAAACTAGTAACCAGAAGCTGGGAGGTTCTCGAAGTACTTTCTTTAGAAAAGTGTAAACATCTGAAAAAATATTTTGAGAGTACAGTAAATGAAAGGGAATCCCAAAAGTGTGCATGAAAGTTGGAAAATGAACAATAAAAATTCCAGCAGTGTAAATTTACTTGTATTATTGTCTTTCAACTCTACCTCATATTATGTAACTATTTTGAAATGAAGGAAGTTTATGATTGAAATCATCACTTAAAATACCCTTTGTACAGTAAGCCTTGTTAACAAGGGTGATCTACTCTAAAGCCACGTATTTTTCCTCTGGTTTCTCTTTGTAAGTATATGCAGCTTTAGGGGAAAAGCCATTTTCATTTTTGCAGATGCCATTTACCTTAAGTCCCTTGAGCATTATTCGCATATCTAAACCTACATGGTGTTTTTTGTCCTTGTTATAATTCATCATATTTCTTATTCTCTTTCCATTCAATTTCTTCTGACACAAGCATTACTTTCCTGGTTTCAGTCTAAGTGTTCTTCCCTATCTCCTTGCATGTTTTACATTTCCATGTCTGGACAAGGAAACTAACTTCCTTTGTAAAAAATATTCATTTCAAGGAAATAAAGATGTCATAGAAAGTATTGTAAAAGGATGTGAATATGAAGAAAAATATACTCATATGGCCTTGAGAGCACATCCTTGTTTAATTTTCATTTCATTTCAACTAGAAATGTGATGAGTTTTTTGGAAGCTTGTCTTACGTTTTTTGTCAGTCTGAACTTAGGATGAAAATAAACTCAGAGACCAGATCTGATTATCTGAGTAACCACTTTGAAGATAAGAATGTGTAGTACAATAACCATTGTTAATTTCCTACCACCTTATTTTGAAATTCTGTATTATTTTTATTGTTTTATGT